AGCATCAGTGCCATACATTAAAACCATCACTATAAGACCAAAAAGTTAACAATTTCTCAAAAGTAAAGATGAGAAAATAAGGGGGCAGGGAAACTAGAGTATTAGAAGGCAACAAACAAAATAGAATTAAACAGAATATTGATACACTGTGACAAATTTAACTAATATCCACCACTTGTCTGTCAATGTTGTCATACTGTAGTGGCTTGCATGTTGCTATGATAGGGAAGGTGTGTCACCAGTATCTCAAATAACATCAGGGTGACCCATGTTAATTTCAGAACTTCTAGACCAAGATAGACTAAGAAAGAGGTCCTGGGAATCTACATCTGAAAAAGTGGCCAGTTAAGAATAGTAAAGGAAGGTCTGATACAGTGCCAGAAGATGAGCCCCTCAGGTTGAAAGAAACTCAAAATACAACTGAGGAAGAGCTGCTTCCTTAAAGTAGAGTCGACATTAATGACGGGGATGGAGTAAAGCTTTCAGAACCTTCTTATGTTGCTGGGGGATGACTGAAAATAAGAAGAAACATCTGTAAATATTCACTAAAAATCAAAATATGGAATACATGAACTATGAATCCAGGAAAACTGAAAGCTGTCAAAAATCAAATGGAATGCTTAAAGATAGATATCCTAGGCATTAATGAACTAAAATGAGCCAGTATTGACCATTCTGAAATGGATAATCATATGGTCTACTATGCCAGGAATGACAAATTGAAGATAAATGACATCGTATTCATTGTCAAAGAGACTATTTCAAGATATGTCCTGAAATATAATGCTGTCAGTAATAGGACAATAGCCACATGCTGACATGAAAGACCAGTTAATAGAACTGTTATTCAAATTTAAACACCAAAGACGAAGAAATTAAAGATTTTTACCAACTTCTACACTCTGAAATAGATGTTTGATAAGTTGCTGTTACACGACATCTAGTTGGCTGTGACTCATAGCGACCCTGTGTACAACAGAACGAGGCACTGCCTGGTCCTGCACCAGCCTCACATTCCTTGCCATACTTGAGCCCATCATTGCAGTCACTGTGTCAATCCATCTCATTGAGGGCCTTCCCTTTTTTTACGCTGACTCCCCACTTTACCAGGCATGATATCCTTCTCCAGAGAATGGTCCCTTGCAACAACATGACCAAAGTGAGTGAGATGAAGTCTGGCCATTCTCACTTCCAAGGAGCATCGAGGCTGCACTTTACTTATGTTATTTTATGTGTGATATCAATGATATTATTTGATAATTTTCACATTCTGTTGGACCACCTTTCTTTGGAATGGGTACAAATATGGATCTCTTCCAGTTAATTGGCCAGGTTGCTGTCTTCCAAATTTCTTGGCATAGGTAAGTGCCTCCAGTGTGGCATCCATTTCTTGAAATATCTCAATGGGTACTCCGTCAATTCCTGGAGCCTTGTTTTTTCCAATTCCTTCAGTGTAACTCTGACCTCTTCCTTCAGTACCATTGGTTTCCAATCATATGCCCCCTCCAGAAATGGATGAATACCAATTCTTTTTCGTACAGTGACTCTTGTGTATTCCTTCCATCATCTTTTGATGTTTCCTGTATCATTCAATATTTTGCCCATAGAATCTGCTAAACGGGCAAGGAGGCCACATCTTCTGACCTCCTCTAACCCCACAAGAGGAAGACAAAATCACCATCAGCCCAAGTCCTATTCCTGTGAGGCCAGACATGCTGCCTCCCTCCAGCCCTTTCACCAACCCTGACACCAACAGTTCCTCCCGCAGCACTCACCACCTTTCTGCTGGGTTTGATAAAACTGCAGCGGCCACACAGAACTCACAGATTATAGGGTTTATTAAGGAAGCACCAGGCTATAATTCAAGTCCAGGAAAAACATTCAGTCTCTCTCAGCCCACTGTCCCTCAGCCAATAGTCTCTCTCAGCCACTCTCCCAGCAATGCATGTCTCTCGGTGTCTCTCTCAGCAGTGCATGTCTCTCCGTGTTTCTTTCCCAGCAGCATGTGTTTCTCAGGAGCGTGTTTCTCTCAGCAGCATGTCCTTCCTCAGCCAGCAGTCAGAGAGACTTCTGCCTCTAGGAGGCCTCCTTTTGAGCCTAGCACAGTGGCCAAACTAGCCAATCATAACATCAGAATACTAAGCACCTGAGAGAGAGCAAACTTCCCAGAACATTGCTTTGTGCCAGTCTCAATAGAAATACCCCAGGTGGATAACTTTTACAATCAGGAGCTCCTCAGTTGCTCACAGCAAATTCCACCACAGAGTTTACAAAGGCTTATGGCTAGAAAAGCCATACCAGGTAATTTACTACACCACAGAAATCTTTCAATACTGTAACTTGAGGCTTGAATTTTTTTCTTCAGTTCTTTGAGGTTGAGAAATGTTGAATGTGTTCTTCCCTCTTGGTTTTCTAACTCCAGATCTTTGTACATTTTATTACAGTAATTGACTCCATCTTCTCAAGCTGCTCTTTGAAATTTTCCGTTCAGCTCTTTTATCTTGTAATTTCTTCCATTTGCTTTAGCTACTCTCCATTCAAGACCAAGTTTCAGAGCTTCTTCAGACATCCATTTTGGTCTTTTCTTTCTTTCCTGTCTTTTTAATGAGCTCTTGCTTTCTTCATGGAAAATGTTCTTGATGTCATCCCACAGTTCCTCTGGTTTTTGGTCATTGGTGTTCAATGCATAAAATTTATTCTCCAGATGGCCTCTAAAGTCAGGTGGGATATAATCAAGGTCATATTTTGGCTCTCATGGACTTGTTTTAATTTTCTTCAGCTTCAGCTTAAACTTGTAAAGGAGCAACTGATGACCTGTTCCACAATCAGCTCCTGGCCTTGTTTTCACTGAAGACACTGAGCTTCTCCATCCCCTCTTTCCACCAATGTAGCCAATCTGATTCCTGTGTACTCTTTCTGGTGAGGTCTACATGTATAGCTGCCACTTACATTGTTGAAAAAAGGTATTTGCATGAGTAAGTCATTAGTCTTGCAAAATTCTATCATGTACTCTCCGACATGATTTCTACCATCAAGGCCATATTTTCCAACTACTAGTGATTCTTCTTTGTTTCCAACTTTTATGTTCCAATCACGAATAATTATTAGTACATCCCCATTAAATGTTTGGTCAATTTCAGACTACAGAAGTTGGTAAAAATCTTCAATTTCCTCATCTATGGCTTGGTGGTTGGTGTGTAAATTTGAGTGATAGTAGTATTAACTGGTCTTCTTTGTAGGAATATGGATATTATCCTATCACTGAAAGCACTGTACTTCAGTATAGATCTTGAAACATTCTTTGTGACAATAAATGCCACGCCATTCCTCTTAAATTTGTCATTCCCATCACAGTAGATCAAATGGTTGTCCAATTCAAAATGGCCAAAACCAGTCCATTTGAGCTCACTAACAATCTTTATATGTCCCATTTCATTTTTGACAACTTTCAATTTTCCTACATTCACGCTTTGTACATTCCATGTTCTGATTATGAATAGATGTTTGCAGCTGTTTCTTCCCATTTTGAGTCATGCTATATCAGCAATGGAAGTCCCAAAAGCTTTACTCCATCCACATTATTAAGACTGACTTTACTTTGAGGAGGCATCTCTTCCCCAAGCATATTTTGAATGCCTTCCAATCTGAGGGGCTTATCTTCCAGCACTATATCAGACAGTATTTCAGGGCTATTTGTAAAGTTTTCCAGTAATATATCAGGCAGCATTTTACTGTTATTCATAAGGTTTTCACTGGCCAATTCTTTGAGAAGTGGATGGCCCCTTTCCTCTTCCAAGCCTGTCTTAGTCTGGAAGCTCCACTGAAACGTGTCCACCATGGGTGACTCTGCTGGTATTTGAAGTAACAGTGGCATAGCTTCCAGCCTCACAGAAACACGCAAGCTATCACAGTACAACAAACTAACAGATGAGAAGTGGACAACAGAATATTACTCATCCATAAACACAAATGATATCCTGGTACATGCTATAACATGCATGAACCTTTAAAATGTTATGCTGAGTAAAATAATTCCATCACAAAAGAACAAATATTGTATGATCCCATTTATATGAAATAGCTATTATAGGCAAATGCATAGAAACCAAAGTTCACTAGTGATTACTAGGGCCTGGTGGAAGGAGAAAGGGGGGAGTTATTGTTTAAGAGGCACTAAGTTTGTATTAAAGGTGATAAAAAACAAAAATGGAAACTAGATTGTAGAAACAGTTAAACAGTAAAGTAAACATAATTACTGCCCTGGAATTGCAAATATAAAATATGTAAACATGGAAAATGTTTTGTTATATACATTTTTACCACAGTTAATAAAAATAATAGCATGGGTGTGTATTTATTGACATGGAACCACTTCATTATGTCAAATAAAATAAAGAAACACAATGAAGCATACATTGTCTAACGCATTTTGGCAGAATATTTACCAAAATGTTTTGTAAAAAGTACTTATCAGGGAATGGTAGGATTTGGGGTGATTTTAGTTTTACCTTATTTTCATTATAACTTTCAAATGATGAACATACATTAATTACAGAAACAAAGAAAGTAGAAAGAGAGGATGAAGGAGTGGGACGCAACAAAGAAAAGATGCAGAAAAGACAGATGAACCAAAGGGAAAAGAAGCAAGAAAAAGAAGAAACAGGGAAAAGATAACAATCATAGGATCCTGAAGCTGGCAGTATCTGACACATCATCAAACCTTGATTCTTCACACAAAGAAGAGACATTGAAAAACATCAGCTGGGCTGACCCAAACCCCTCTATAGCCAACCCTGCCATTTTATAGAGGATGAGCCTAAATACCATAGTGGTAAAAGAATCTCTTCAGCCCAGAGTTCATCCAGCACAAAGCTAGGTCTGGACTCAGAATGCTATCCTTCACTCTGAGGTTCCACCTCACCCATGGACAGAGAAAGAGGAGGAATCCAGGGCCCTGGTATGTGTGCACCCCTCCCTAGAGACCATCAGCCAGGCCGTACCTCCTTAGCCAGCCTTCGCGCCTCATAGTAGGGCCGAGCCTTCTCGATGCAACTCCCCAAGTGGGAGCCCTGTGTATTGAGTTTCCTCGCTGACTCTTGCAGGATCCTTCGATAGGTTGTCCGGGCCTCCTGACAAAGAGAGGGACATGGGCAGAGGAAAGGCACATCCTTCCCCCTGTCACTGTATCAAACAGAGAAAGAAATACCAATCTAAGGATGAGAGAAAAAGGACACTCACATCCAGCTGCAGCTCCACTTGGTTGATCTCCTCACTGGCCTGGTTCAGATGTTCCAGCTCCTCCTGCCACAGAGAGGTGGAGAGTTATAGTAGTCAGGAAGGACACAGCCTGTGTGTGAACTGTGCTGGGGCAGGAGAGCTGTACACATAGAGAAAGCACCTACCTCTACCAGATGAAATGGAGGAGAGAGACACAGGCACAGGAAAAGGAGAAATGAGTAAGTGTTGAATGTCTCCTTGTCAGAGAACTAATATAGTCTTATGTCATCCTCACAACTCTACCTTTGTATTAGGATTTAAGAAGGCAACTCTCTTATGCACACAGCAGAGAAGCCACCACTCTCCCGATCAGACCACACCACCTTCCAGCACACGAGCAGAGGAATGTCCTTGGAGTCAAAGGTCTCTGTCCCAGAAGTGATTCCCAAGGCAAGACACAGCCCCACTCACTTAGCATACATTTGCTGAGCATTTATCACAGCTCAGCACCATAAAAGCCATAATCAACAGGTACTCGGTAGTGTGAGGAGCTATGGAGAGATGTGCCTGGGTATGAGGGAAGGTAACAGGGTCACCTACCTGGGCAGCAGAAGGCCAAGGTGAGATGCCTGGAACACTTGCTTCCAGGCCAGACCTAGATGGACACACAGAAAAGCACCAGGGAAGAGGATGGTGCTAGGAAACCAAAGGGGGAACAGGTGCTCTAAGCAGACAGACTGTCAGGTAAGAACACTGTGGCTGGGTTACAGGGCAGGGGACACTAGGCCTTTTCCCCATGGTAGCAGGGAGAATCTCAGAGCCTGGTGCCATCAAGTTTGTGTTTTAAGGAAGAGGATTTCAGCAGTGTGAGAAAGACTGGGAGGGGCAAGGAGACAAACATGAAGGCTGTTTGCAGTATCCCAGGTGGAAAACACAGCCATAGGGAGTGGGGAGAAGAGGGCAGACCCTGGAGAAATTCAGATCATGAAATCATGAGGGCTTATGGAGGATGAATGTCAAGATTAGGGAAGAGTACAGGATCTGTACTGCTTGGGCAGTAGGGTAGCAGTAACCCTAGGTCTCAATGCAGGTCATCCTGTGGGAGGAAGGGAAAGACTGGGGAGAAGTCACTAGACATGCTGGTTTGAGTGCCTCACCAGCCCTGGGACTGGAGAAGCAAGGACAACAGAACCACACAAGGCCTTTCCCTGATATGGCAGAAAGCAAGGAGGAGAGCTGACACTTAAGTCACCCTCCCCTGCCAAGAAAACCCTAGCTAAGTTCCCAGGCCCACTGTATCTAGGCTGCTCCTAAGAAAGAGTACTAGTCTATACCAAGGACCCTGTCTGGGGAGAAGCCTGATACACAGCAGAAGTGTCTCCTCCACCTCCAAGAGCTCCATAGGCCCCAGCACACATGATCTGTATGCTTGAAAGACATAATCATTGCTCACCATCTGGCTGGTGATACTGACAATCTCACTGTGCACTCTCAACAATCCAGTGAGGTGGTTAGACCAAGATGTATAATTTTCCATTAATCATTCTATTTTTATACCTCTCCTTGATGCTGGAAAGATTTCAGCTAGTGGGAAACCAAGTCATACACATCAGTCATAATGAAAGAAAAACAAAGGTGGAAACTTAAAATGGAACAAACTGTGCATGCCACAACACAGACCCTGCTTCAGGAAAGCCATGAATACGGCTCTAGGATAAAGTGTCCAATGCAAATATAATGCAAGTCACAAATGGAATTCTACGTTTTCTATCAGCTACATTTTCTAAAAGTAAAAACAAGATGAAATTGTAATAACATATTTCATTTAACCCAATATAATCAAAATATTATTTCACCACGTAATTAACAAAAAATTATTAATCACATCTGTTACACTTTTTTTTCTGAACTAAGTCTGAAATCCACTGTGCATTTGACCCCTACAGCACATCTCAACTTGGACTAGCCATGTTTCAAGTGCTCAGGAGCCACATGTGGTGCATGGGTCCCATATTGGTCTAGAAGCTGATATATATTGCTTTTCTGCCACAGGGCTACGACTCCCTTAGGACTAAGGACGGCCCTGGATGGACTCCTCAGAGAAGGAGTGATGTCACCTATGAAAACAGCTGCCCTGGTAGGAAATGGATTATTAGCTCAGGTATCCAATAAACACTGGTGGGAGAGGGGGAAGGAAAGGAGACAAGCAAAGAGGCCACCATGGGATGTTAATGTGGGCAAACCAAGGTCCAAGACTGGATCCCCACTCCATTCCACAGCCCGAACTGCCCCCATTTCTGACTCTCGAATGCTGAAAAATTTATCAGCATAAGCCATCACCACAGGAAAAATGACCTGAAGGGCTCTTACTATTGGCAATAGGTCAGAGCAGCCATTGTCTTTCTATACAGGACCCGTACCCCCATTGCACCTCAAAGCAATTAAAAAGCCCTTTGGTGATGAGAAAATCAACTTCCAGGAAGGTTAGCAGGTCTGTCCCAAAGTTCTTTCACAAAGCTCTTTCTAGCAAAACAAAGAAATGCCTGGAGAATAGGCGAGGCATGGGTCAGTGGGGGTGGCAGGGGCAGAGACAGCCAGGTTAAAGCAGACCCATGGCAAGGCTGGGTGATACATTCCATTTGGCCAGCTCCCCTAGAGACTCCTGTCTCAGTGAAATGGGATTCTGAGTCAGCATACATCATCCATGAGGAAGCCAGCAGCCAGGAAGGGTGACTTTCCCAGAACACACTGGGTGCATTCCCAGGATGCCAGGTCACTGAGCCAAACGCTTGGGTGCTTAGGCTACAAATGCTCTTGCCCTACCTAGTAAAGATCAAATGATTCAAATTGATTGTAAGTAAGTTGGGGGATGGTGGTGCATGGCCCAAGAATTTGGAAATAAAGGAAATAAAATTGCCCTATGGGTGTCAACCCTACACTTCTAGATGAGAACATAAAAGCTGCAGGTAAGACCCGACAATAACCTGACTGTATTAATAGGTCTAAGAAAAAAATGTGTCCATCACAAAGGAGCTAAGTAATCAGAGAGTCACAATAGAGTAAACACAGGATCTACTCTCCTTCCCTCTTCTAGACCCTCTGAGAAAGCTGAGACTAACCTGGACATTTCAGAGAACTGTGCTAAAGTCATGATCCTAGAGACATAGTCAGTGGCATTCCCTAGGTGGACAGCCCATTCCAAGTCAGCTGCCAACTTGCTTTTTTCCAACTTCCAGAGAGATCTCACAGTGTGGGCACAGAGCAGCCTGCTTGCCAAGGAAACACATTCCCACTTCAGAAAGCGTCTCACCCTAAGAGCAGCCAACCTCTTCAAAGACCTTAAGAAAACATGAAGCCAGGGTCCTGGCCTTTGGGATGTTCCTAGTTGGGTGGGCTCAGCCCTGGCTGCAGATTGGGAATGAGTGTTTTTAGAGCTCAGTGGGGAGATCTGATGGATCTATTGGTGGAGTTCTACTACACGCATTGAGAACCCAGAAAAATTAACACCAATTTAAAGTAATGAAACACATTATCAAGGCAACATGGTCTTGAGTACTGGCAACACTAAAAACGACCTCAAAAGACATACAACCCACTATCCTTATCCAGAAAAGGAGCCCAAACCCAGAAGAGCTAAGTGCTGCCTGGCCACGTCCATGAAGGGTACCCCTGATACAGTGCTCCCTCTCCCGTATGCATGAAGGACACATACCATTTGGAGCTTTGGCCTAGCTGGAAGTCATTAAATGAGGGAGGCCACTAAAAGACCTTTCCTCCCTACCACAACCATAACATTTTACGATGTACTGTGTGGTTTAGCGAGAGGGTCTGATCTATCCCGCCTGCACCAATACTACTACAAATTCACTGGAGGCAAAGTGGACCTTATCCCTCCTCAGTATACTCTAACCCTCACAGTCAGTCCAATAGAACTGTCTATAATGATGAAAATGTTCTACTTCTATTTCTGCACTGCTGATACAGCAGCAGGGGATCTGCATTTTGTACTTCATCTCACTTTAACTGATTTTTATTTAAGAAGCCACATGCAGATAATGGCTACCTTACTGGACAGTGCAGCACCAGAGTGACTTTTAATACCACTGCCTTCACCTATGTTGTTGTTATGTGCCATCAAGTCGGCCCCAACTCATAGCGACCCCTCCTTGGGTTTCCGAGGCAGTATCACTACGGAAGTAGGATTGCCCAACCTTCCTTCCGAGGAGTGGCTGGTGGGTTTGAACCGCCAGCCTTCTGGATAGCAGTCAAGTGCTTTAGCCACTATGCTACCAGAGCTCCCCCCTTCACCTATGTTGTTGTTGTTGTTTGCCGTCGAGTTGGCCCCAACTCATAGCGACCCCTCCTTGGGTTTCCGAGGCAGTATCACTACGGAAGCAGGATTGCCCAACCTTCCTTCCGAGGAGTGGCTGGTGGGTTTAAACCGCCAGCCTTCTGGTGAGCAGTCAAGTGCCTTAGGCACTATGCTACCAGAGGACAATGGAAAAATTATATAGGAACAGGAGAAGCTGAGGAAAGAGACTGTGATAAATTCTTTCCTCTGAAGCAGGGCAAAGAATATTGTAGGGAGGGGCATGAAGTGAGTTACATAGCCCTCTTCCCCAAGGGTCTCTCCCAGAGTATCACCAAAAACCAAGCAAAAGATTTCATGAAAGAATCACAGGAGCCATGTCACAGAACAGCCGGAAAGAGTCATGCAAATTGGCCTAGCCATCCCCTCACACAGATGAGAAAGCTGAGGCTCAGAGAGGTTACATCACAGAAAGGTTAAATCATAAATCACGCAGCTGGAGGATGCTTGAATCTCAGCCCACCGCTGTTTCATTACAATGTTTCCTCAGTGAATGACAAATCTGTAGAATTAGCAGGAAAAATTGAGTTATTCTCAATGAAATGTCTCTGAGGCACAGAAGAAATAAATTACTGACTCATGCCAAAAAGAAAAAGATCACCACAGCTCCACTGTAAGTGACAAAATTCAGGAGGATCCCCACATGCACATCCTGGAAGCCCCAACAAAAGGGCAGGTACGACGCCAGGACCAGCGTTGATATCTTCTCCACTCACTAGAGTTATCCAATAAAGATCTGTTGACAGAGAAACCAAGGAATGCACAACCTGAGACGTTCTTACTCACCTGCAGAGGGATGAGTCACTTCCATGGAAGCGTCTTGGGAGATGCTACCAGACCAAATGGCAAACTCAGACCCCAAACACTCAGGAAGAGTCTGGCTCTCATATGCCTAACCAGCTTTCTCAGGGAGCCCTTCCCAGTCAGGGCCCCAGAACACTGCACCCCAGCCTTGACTGTGCACCAGCTCCACACACTGCCCCTCCGTCTTCACAAAGATCCGCCTGCCCAACAAACCAGACTGTAAGCACTCTCATATGGTAAACCAGCTCTTCCATTCCTTTGGCATAACCACACAGCATCCTGAGTAGAAAAAATGTAACATTAAGGACTGACCAAGACTGATGCAGATCACTTCAACACATGAGATTTCCAAATAGGCCACAGCCTGATGCCACCTTTCTAAGATCTAAAAGGTATCATCCTGTACAGATGTGAAAGTCCCTGGGAAGCACAGAATAGAAGACAAGAGAGGAAAAAAGATTCAATCACTCATCCTCAAAGCTTTCTCCCAGTCTCAGTCATCTTCTCTTACATCCCCCTCACAAAGCATTTCTGAGGAACAGCCCCCTGCACTTAATTTAAAAAGAACAGTTCTAAACCAGACACTTATTCCCTCAACTGACCTACACCTGGTACTGCGAATGTGTTACTTCACTTCAGGGAAGCCTTCAGCAGCATACCCCGTGTAGTCGGGCCAGGACTTTATCTGCCCTCCCATCAACTGTTCAGCCCTACAACTTTTTTGGCACTTGTCACACTACATTGCAACAATTTGTTGACGAGTTTACTTTTCCTTTCCTTTCCCACTGCACTGGGAGAGAATAAGTTTAACTCCTCATTCATCTGACAGCTCTTCATAAAAGGTGGATTCTAGGCTCCTTGTCTCTCCCCTCACTCAGCCTCCTCACCTGTATTCTAGGATCCAGTTCTTCCTCCTCTCTTGGGGACAATTTGGTCTCACTGCTGTTGCTTCCTCCTCCTCCAGGCTCCTCTGCAACTGGGTTTCTAGGGACTTCATCCTCAACCACCTCAGGTCGCAGCTCCCCCTGTGGGGTCTCCCGCCCACCTGGTACCTGCCTGAACTCAGCCATGCTTACTGGGAAAGGGCAGAGCCCTATGCACAAGAAAGGACTGACATGCTGGGACCAGGGCCCCAGCTTGGGACTTCTTGGGCTCTGGACAGCAAAGGAGAAAGGTTTCTCTTGTCAAAAGGTAGAAAAGGGGTCACAGGAAGAACCTCACACTTGGTATAGGCTGAAATTCAAACTGTCAGTAGGGTTCCTACAGATATGGCCTTGTCTGGGCCAAAGTCCTTCCCTCCCACCAATGGGGAGTCCACCAGGAGAGATCCGGAGCAACAGCTCCAAGGCAGGGGGCAAAGGGGGTCTGGATCCTGGGCCGAGGCCTACGAGGAGGAGCACCATTCGGGAGGGTAGAGGCAGGCGCCTCCAGGCTGTGGTGGCAGCTGGAGACTGAAGGGTAGGCCCGAGCACAGGCGGCTGGATGAGAGTCTCTGCAGAGCTGTGGGTGAAACAAAAGCCAAGTACATGGTCATGCCAGCCTAAGAACCTAGGCCACCAGCTCCTTCCAACCCCTGAGACTTTTAGGGACTCCACGCTCCTTCCGCCACACCTCATACTCCGACCTGCCTCATCGCAACTTCTTTTCCCATCTCTCAAGCACTTAAGGCCCACCTCTTCCCTCGATTCCAGCCCTTCCCCCACCAGCGTCTTCCAGACTTCCTGCCGTACTCCCACCCTTTTCTCCATCCCCCTTTCCTTCCGCCCACCCCACTGGATCCTTGCCTCTCTACCATTCACTCTGTAAATTCCCTGCCCCGCCCCACCTCCTCTCTCCTCTCCAATCCTCAAAATAGTCTGAGCCTCCAGTCTCCAACTCTAACCCCATCCCAACAGCTCTGCCCCCAGCCATCCTACACAGGCGCAATAGCAACCCTTCAAAGTCTTACCTCAGTTTACCTTCCCGTAAGCAGAGCTTCTCAGCTGCAAACAATCTTCCCCCTCCCTCCTCGCAACAACCTGGTCCAATCAAAGACGACAGGACCGAGAGGAAGCGGAAATACATCACCACTTAACCTCCTCCTGTCCACTCGCCCCTCCCTCGTACTCTCTACGGTGAACTTGGCCGGGTCAGGAATTCCAAACACTCGCACTAACAAACCTTCGGTTTCCGTACAGAATGGTACCCCACACGTTTCAGGCCTGCCTACGTTGCCCCTATTCCATTAACTACCAAACCCATAAATAAATTTTTTAAATGAGCGTTATGTGATGAGAAAAAATACTGTGAATTAGGGACTGCTAGCGTCCCTGGTAAGTAGGGAAGTGCTAGAAATAAAACAGAGTTTGAATAATAACCTCATAAAGAATGCTGCCATCTTATTTACGGAACTTGCGGCTCCTGGCAGCCGGAAAGTAACGCTCGGCAGCCGGAAAGTAACTCGCAGCTTTGCCAAGGTAAAAATTGGCTGTAGCAACGGACGGAGTCGCTGAGTCTGAGGATGACTACACTCTGATGTTGGAACTCAAGGTTGTTTTCCAGGAGTGACTTTTCTCACCCCAATGAAGGCAGCAGAACTCATAATAAGCTCTGATGGGTAAACAATCTCTTTGAGTCCTCCAGCCAGCGTCCTTGCCCCGGCCTCAGCGATTGCCCCTCCTCGAGCGAGGCGTTCACTTACTGAAAGTCATTTCGATGGGGTGGCTAATTATACTAAATATTAATAAGAAATTTTAGTCAACATGAACTAAATACATGCACTCAGTGCTCAAAAGCCCTCAAAGAGGAGGAGGAGTTTCTGTTTATTGCATAACCTTATGTGTCGTTCGGAAGGAAGGTTGGGCAATGTACTTCTGTAGTGATGTTGTTGTTGTAATTTGCCATCGAGTAGAATCTGACTCAGCGACCCCTCCTTGGGTTTCACCAGTACTAGTGATACTGCCTCGGAAACCCAAGGAGGGGTCGCTGTGAGTCGGCTCCGACTTCACGGCAGTGCGTTTGATTTTTGGTTTGGCCTGACTCGGCGATAAGAACCAGGCCTGGGCAAAGGACCTGGTCGCCATTTCTATGTGCGCCAGGCAAGGCGAGAAGAGAGAGCAGAGACTTCAAAGTTGAACGCTTTATTTGAACAAAAGTCCTACCTTAGTCTGAGCCAACTCAAGGTTGCCCTGAGAGCTAGAAAAAGCGAATGGAATGAATTATTCTTCCCTCGGATCTTCACCCTCACCCAGTGAGTAACCACATCAAACAAACAAGAAATTAAAGAGACCAAATATATTCCTTCTAAAAAGTAGATTTTTAAAATATATTTGTCCATAAAATTGCCTTTGTATTGTTATTATGTGCCCTGAGTCGGACACGACTCATAGCGACCTCTCCTTGGGTTTCCTAGGCAGTGTCACTACGGAAGTAGATTGCCCCATCTTCCTTCCGAGGAGTGGCCGGTAGGTTTGAACCACCAGCCTTCTGGTTAGCAGTCAAGTGCCTTAGGCACTATGCTACCAGAGCTCCTGTCTTTGTATTATTATTTTTTAATTCCAAAAGTGACTTCTCATTCAAGTGAGTTAGCAGGGCCCTAAGTAATCATGTATAAACAGACAGCTCTGATGAGTAGTAACACCCCAGTCTTCTAGTACATTGCTTTTGTTATTAAAGTGCCATACAAAAAACATGAAAATTACATGTAGAAATCATAAACGTAATTAATTTGTCCTCTATCATTCCTTTTAGTTTTGGAGAACTGGAATTTCACTGTAATGACCCCATCCTACTTACCTTCTGTCTACCCAAGCTTGAATACCCTTTGCTATTTGACAGTACCTTAACATCTGTCATTCTTAAACAGGTCACACATCTTTCCCTATGCATTCAGCCTTTAGCAATCATGAGTGCTGAGTATCACAGATCTTTATCGGACTTGTTGAAAAAATATCATGAACATTTATAATGCCCAGACTCTCTGATGTCTCCCCTGGCCTGAGACTAAATCTGATTTAATTATGCATAAATTATAATATCTGCCGTTTTTTACTAAATTTGGATACTGTTTTGGGTAGGAGGAGGTGCAAGTAGGTGGAGCTGTATACTGCTTTAACCTAGCCTTGTTTAATTGAAGCCAAAACCTGTTGACGTAGAATCTTTTCCAACTCATGATGACCCCCTGTGTTACAGAGAAGAACTGCTACCAGGCCTTCGTTCTTCAGCACCAACCTTTAGTAAAAAGGTGCAAACCATTTGCACTACACAAGACCTGAAGCCAGCATGGACGTGGATTAAAACTTCGCTCTAGAGCAGCACTATTCAGTAGACCTGTCTACAGTCATGGATATATTCTGTATCATCTCTGCAATACAGTAGGCACCAGCCACATGTGCACTTGAAATGGAGCTGATAAAATTAAGGACCTGAATTTTTTAATTTGTTTACTTAATTTTAAGTAGCCAAATGTGTTATTGTTAAATACCATTGAGTGGGCTCCAACTCATAGCAACCCTTTGTACAACAGAACAAAACACTACCCAGTCCTGTACCACCCTCATAGTCTTTAGTATGCTTTAGCCCATCATTGCAGCCATTGTGTCAATCCATCTCCTTGACTGTCTTCGCTTTTTTCACTGACCCTCCACTTTACCAAGCATGATATCCTTCTCCAGGGAATGGTCCCTTCTGACAACATGACCAAAGTAGGTGGGATGAAGTCTGACCATTCTAACTTCCAACGTTTTCCAGGACAGGTTTGTTCATCCTTCTGTAGTCCATGGATGGTTATACATAAATTGCTTCAACAGCTACTTTTTTTTTTTTTGTCGTTGTAAATGTAACTATCATGCAATTTTTGTGAGTTCAACTTTCTACAGCTGTATAACTTATTGACAACAATTACAATGATCAACTGTGCAACCCTACGCTTAATCAATGTGATTTTTCCATCATTGTTAAACCCCTTTCTTCCCTCCTTCCTGCCCTGGTAACCACTAATAAACTTTACCCTCTGTGCATTTGTCTTTTCTTGTCTATTTATATAAGTGATATCATGCACTATTTGTTATTTGTGATTTCACATTTCACTCAGCATGATAACTTCAAGCTCCATCCATACTGTAGTATGTATTTACACTTCATTTCTCCTGCAAGCTAAATAGTAGTCCATTGCATGTATGTAACCAAAAAAAAAAAAAAAAACCAAACTCACTGCCTGGCGGACTCATAGTGACCCCAGCTTGGGTTTCCGAGGCAGTATCACTACAGAAATAGATTGTCCAATCTTTCTTCTGAGGAGTGGCTGGTGGGTTTGAACCAGCAGCCTTCAGATTAGCAGTCAAATGCCTTAGGCACTACACCACCAGAGCTCCCATGTATGTAACACATTTTGTTTATCCATTCACCTGTTATGGGCATTTAGATTGTTTCCACCTTTTAGCTGTTGTGAATACTACTACATCAGTGAACATTAGGGCACAAGTCTTTTGAATATATACTTAGGAATGGAATTGCTGGGTTATATGATGTTCTGGTTACCTAGTGCTTCTCTGACAGGAATATACCACAAATGGGATGGCTTGAACAAACAGGAGTTTGTTCTCTCACAGTTTGGAGGCTTTAAGTCTGAGTTCAAAGTGCCAGGCTCTAGGGGCTGGGTGAAAGCCCCTCAACCTTGGGCTTCAGCCCTGACTCCTGCTCCTAATGTTGGCAGAGCATGGCAGGCTGCTGAAAAACCACACGGCTACATGCAGGGTTCAAGTGTGCCGTAAGCTAGAGACTGTTCCCAAAGCTGTTTCTTATATACAGGAAGTAGACCACATGCCCAAAGCAGCTACTCAGCTGCTCCAAGAGATTCCACTGTGGACTTAATTACCAGTCTCACCATGGGGAATAACTAACTACATTCAGCTGCCAAGCCACTCAACCAAGCCCAGCCAAGTTGACAAACAAACTTAACCACTGCATATGCTAATTCAATTTTTAATTTTTTTATGAACTGTCACACTGTTTTCCACAATGGCTGTCCCATTTTGCATTCCCACCACCAACGGATAAGGATTCCAGTTTTCTCACATCCTCACTAACTTTTGTTATGTTTTTTCTTTTTTTTATCTTAGCCATCCTAGTAGGGGGAACTCTGGTAGCGTAGTGCCTAAAGCACTTGACTGCTAACCAGAAGGCTGGCGGTTCAAACCCACCAGCCACTCCTAGGAAGGAAGGTTGGGCAATCTACTTGTGTAGTGATACCACCTCGGAAACACAAGGAGGGGTCGCTATGAGTCAGGTCCGACTTGATGGCACAAAGCAACATCCTAGTAGGAGTGAAATGGAAATGATACCTCATTGTGGTTTTGAATTGCATCTCTTTTATGGCTAATGTGCATTATTTGTGATTTCCTTCAACATAATACCTTCAAGCTCCATCCATACTGTAGCATGTATCAAGATTTCATTTCTCCTGCAGGCTAAGTAGTATTCCATTGTATGTATGTAACATACCTTGTTTATCCATTCACCTGTTTATGGGCATTTAGGTTGTTTCCATTTTTTAGCTTTTGTGAATATTACTGCAGAGAACATTAAGGTACAAGTCTCTGAATCTCTGCATTCAGGTCTTTTGGGTAGGAGTGGAATTGAAGACAAGGCAGTCTACTTCTGTAAAGATTTACCACCTCAGAAACCCAGAGCGGGTCGCTATGAGTTGGAAACGAATCTATAGCAGTGAGTTTGTTTTGTTTGATGGCTAATAATACTGAGGATCTTTTCATGTGTTTGATGGCCATTTGAATTTTCTTTGGTGAAATGTCTATCCAAGTCCTTTGTACAATTTAGGACAATTATTTGTCTTTTTGTTGTCAAAGTTTTATGTATATTTTGGTTATTCGATTCTTGTCTGATACATGGTTTCCAAAATTACTCTCCCAGTCTATAGCTTGTCTTTTTGCTTTTTTGATAAAGTCTTTTGATGAACAAAAGTTTTTAGTTTTTATGCAGTTACACTTATCACCTATTTGTCTTTTGTTTGTACTTTTATTGTTATGTTAGATGATCTATTGTTGAAAGCTAGGCCTGCCAGCATTGCTCC